TTCATTTAGTAGCTGTTCTGGAGCTTTCTATCATAGCCCTTGATCTTCATCAGCAGATGGAGTTGACAATCAAAAAACTTTGAAAGTCAACTGTTAAACTAACATTAAAACAAGAAATCCTGAAAGTTACCATTTTATAGCTTTAATGATTAGCTTAATCGATTAGCCGAACAAACGTAAGAATGAATCGGCAACAATTATTTATTAATATTTGAAGTCAACATTCTCTGGATATTAAATTTGACTATTTGCTGCTTGTCTTTGTCTTACATTAGAGTAAATTATATTATAGTTAATTTAATCTTTTGGGGTTTTGGACTGTTGTTCAGACAAGACCAGATGTTTGATTTGACCAAATGATAAATCATGAAAATAATTGGAAGATAAATTGATAATAAAAATAATCATTGCACCCCTATACAATACCCTGACAACTGGAAAAACTCCATGTGCTGATAAAAATCATGTGATCAAAAGCTCTGCAGCAGCTACTAAGTGAACCTGGAGGTAAGATCGTTGAAAACGTTACGCAATCTTCTGAACAAATAAACAAATGTGTTTAAATTCGTTCCACATAAAGTTCACATTTGGAAGTACAAGGTTTTCACTCAGCATTCAATAAGATATTATGCATGTTGCATAAGATCTCATATTGTATATCTTTAATCAAACATGCCGTCATGTTGCGTGTTGGTTGGATGGGCTATCAACTTGAATTCCAAGCCATGTCGAGCGCTGAACTGTTCAGAATGATGGTAAAATTAACAATGCATTGGATTACGTTTCCTTTTGGCCTTAAAGTGATTTTTCTTTCCCCCTTTTTCGGCACGGGAGGTCTGATTGTCATTTCCCAGCAGTCAATCTCAAATGACCCTTCTTCTGTTTATGTCATGTTCTGCTGGGGAATCGCTAGTGGTGATATTTATGAAAGGAGGCATGGCACGAGTTGCACAGCTCCCACATGTTTCCACAGTGTCGGAATTCAATCACTTTCCTTGGGAAAATGTCTGGCCTTGGAGCTGATAAGCTTGTATGCAGACAGAATATTGTAATCATAGCATTTCATTACAAGACAGTCTCACTTTCTTACAAAACAAACAA